CCTGTGGCACGACAGCGCGAAGCGCTACCGCTCAGCCACCGGGAGTCACCGAGTGTGGAGTCAAACTATATTCTTCATTTACTTATTTTAATAATTTAGGCTAAGGATTTTTTTTTTAAGAAGAATCATTAATTTTATATTTTAAACGCGTTACTATAGTTTGTCCTAAACGTTCATCTTTTCCATTAGTCTATGGGCTGCATTTAATGATTGCTTAATTTTAAAATGTTTAAGAAATTTTTTAAAATTAGAATATGTAAATGCTGCGTTTCTATAGCTGAAAATACTTTAAAGAATTTAAATTTGAAAACTTTGGTGCAAAAAGTTTATAAAGTTTCTGTAGTTACAGATTTAGATGCAAAAGACCACATATGTGATGATCAAGCATTAAAGTTAATTATTTTAGTAGAATTATAATAATTAAAACCACCTATACTATTTATTGCAATTACTTCAAAAGGTTTGCAAACTAAGGGCATTGCCTGAAGTAAACCAAATCATTTTTGTATAGGTTTTTTATTCATTTAACAGGTATGACAATGCATATTAAAATTTGTAATTATCTAAAGTTATATTTTTCCAATAATAGACAGGAGTAAGTATATAAAAAAATTTTGAATCCCAGAATGACCGATTTTTTTATAAATAATTTCAAATTATTTATGACTTAAAGAAAATGGAACAACGATTTTAGTAAAACTCTTTTTATGTAAGCGTAAAACATTATCAATTTCAATGAAATTTCCAATTAAATTATCATTTTGTTGGGGTTTTATGAATTTTTTCTAATTGCAAAAGATGTGAAAAATGGTTTCTATTATTGATATCAATATTGTTATTATTGCTCCACCACCACTTTGACTGTCGTTATCATTAATTTAAGATTAAGCATTTTAAAAACAGTAAAAATCTAAGCATTTTTTAAAATTCCAAATGTTTCTTGACGTTTGGGAGTCCAACAACAAGTTGTATCTTTCGTCAAGAAATAATTCAAAGATGTACTAATTTTAGCATAGTTATTTATAAATTTACTACGCATATTTCGAGAACCAAAACAATTTTAAGGAAGTTTAACATTAATTGGAGGTTTTAAATTTTTAATTGCTACAATATCATTGTTATCGAGAGTCACTATACCATTATATACTTCATAACCTAAAAATTGAATTTTAGTTCGTAAAGAAAGAACGCTTAGAAGCTTACAATTTTAGGTTTTCAAATCTGCATATTTCAAAATATTTTAAGGTGATTTAAATGTTCTTCGAAACTATTAGAAATAATAATAATTTTATCAAAAAAATTCGATGTAAATGAAACTTTATATTTAGTGATTATTCAGCTTATTTTTCTTCGAAAGATACTTGAATCGTTATTCCATCCAAATGGAAATTCGTAAAACCCATTATTGGTGAAAAATGGAATTTTTTCACTGTCATCAGGGGGAATTTGAATATTCTAGAAACCACTGACCATATCCAGGCGACTTAAAAAGAAAAAAAAAGCATTGCCTTATTTTTGTCTAAAAGATTCCATGAGAGGTGATGGTTTTGCATTTGATTAGTATATACGTGATTTGGTACGCGATTACGTGACGTGATATTTGATTAGTCTATACGTGATCTACTTTTTTTATTTTAATTTTTTTAAAAGCTAAAGTTGCTGGAGCCAAACAGGGAGAAAAGCTTTCCTTAATTTTGTTATGCTTTAATAGGTCTTCAATTTTTTTTTATCTATTTCTTCTTGTTCTGGGGAAGTTTTGAATGCTCGTAAGGACATTGGTAAATCTGATGTTCATCTTACCCTTTGAGGTTCAATTTTAACTGTCCTTTCATCGTATTTATCTTGAGCAAAAACATCTGAAAACTCCTTTAAAATTTCCTCAAGTTGGGAATTACCATCACTATCTTGGATTTTCACAATTCCGTCAACATGGCTTTGACAATGCGAGCCCTCATTATCATATTTTGTTTCAAGAATATTTTAAAGATCAAGATTGTTTTCAGTCTTGCTATTTGAATCCTTATATTAAAGTCTGTTTTTTATTTTATTTTTCTTTAAGTTTGTTTATATTTTGGACATACTTATTTCTTCTTATTTTTATGTCCAAAATTTTTTAAAGATTTTTACAAATATTGTTATTGACATTTCATTATAATTCCTTCTCAGCTCTGCTCTTCATTCAACGTAAACACACATTAAATAGACCATATTGTTGTTTATTTTTAATAATTTGCTATAATTTAAAAATTAACATAAATAACGATGCATCAAAAACATGCGAATCATTCTATAGTCAAGAAATAAAATAAAAATAAAATTCATTATTTTACAATATATTAAACAGAAAATAACAGTAGAGTTCGCCTTATGAGTAAAATTTCAAAAATTTGGTAATGGTTTTAACTGAAAAGTAGCCGATTAATTAATAATTATTTTAACATGGCAAACTTGTTTACTGATAATTATTTTTTATCTTTCTCACTGTTGCAGAAAATTCTGTCAGATGAGAACAACCTAGTAAACATTGTTTTTACGAGCCTATTCTAAGCTAACTACAATACTTATTATTTATAGCTAGACAATACGTTTTAACAGAGTAATCAACTACTAAGCGCGAACTACCTAATGACATAGTTAGATAATATAGACACACGGGAGCAAAGTCATGCGCAGATACATTGGCAGATATTCTCCTATTTTTTAAGATGCTTTTTATCTATTCTTTTAATACTGAAAAAAGCATCCATATTTAAAAAAAAGCATTTTCAGGGAAAAAAATAAAATTAAAAACAGACAACAACATAATCATAATTTATGCTAGGAAGACGAAGGTTGTTTAGTTGTAAATGTGCTACTACCGAAAAGATACTGCTCACTTAACCCCAAAATTAGTGATACCATGGCTAGCGGAAGAGTAAACTATTGATTTACAACAAAAATAAACAATTACGGTGAAATATTTTAATACAGTTTTGTTTATTAATAAAAATGAAACATAGTTGCCCACGTTTGACACGAAAAATTAAAAATGGATTTCGCAATGAAGAATTACGGGGGCAAAATTATTAATATTACCGGTCTTTCGTCTGGGTATGATATGTTTAGTGTTAAAAGTTAATATGAATGTAGTTCTTTAACTCATTTTTGTTTATAATTATATTTATATTAATCTTTCTCTAATGTTCTTAATGCTTTAAAGTGCATGTATTTATTGTTTGTTTTTTTGCCAGGAATAAATAAATAAGTTAAATAATTAAATAATTTTTGACACTTTTGTACTGTAATAATATCATTCTGTACTAAAAAAAATATTGTGAACCTGCAGATACTTTTGGAATGTTTGCGCAGATACTTAATTTTTTTTTATCTTACTATGCTTACTAATTGTAAAGAATGGGCACAATCATAATATTTACGGATTTCATTAGATACATAATCATTAAATTCTGGAATTTTTTGATTAAGCGGTCAAGATTACTAAGTACACTGAATGTTTCTACATCATCATCCTGTCTAATACATCATGTATTGAAGTGCTTTAGATTGCTTTTCTAGCTGATTTTTAACTAAAGGAAAAACGCTACCTATATTACTTTAAGGTTTTGCGTATCTATCATAGAAATTTATAAAGTTTACTAAAAGAATTATTTAATTATAAATACCTTTGAAGTTGAAAAATTCATGCAACTGCAGACCACGAACAATGGCGACGATGGAACTATGGCGATGTAAACAATTGTGAAGAGTTACAACTCAACAGTTTAAAAAGTTTGTCCAGTTTTATATCGTTCACAAAAACAGTTTACCTCTGCAAATAGTTTCTTGTGTTTTCTGATGTAAAATTGCATCGGCTAAAAATGATATTTTAAGTAGTATTTAATTTATTCTTTTCTTTCATGAATAAATGTTTATTTATTAATAATTTTGTTATGCCCTTTCGAAAAAAGGTGGGGCTGGATAAAAAATATTGAAAAAAATTATAATTTTTAAGGTTCGAATGCTAGATTTAATACTATTTAATCTTATGTAATATTAGTTCTAATATAAGAAGATAGGATTCAAGAGATTCTAGCACAGCAGTATTATATTGCATCGTTCTAATGTTAGATAATATCTTTTTGCTACCTGGAATAGCTTGATGAAACTTCACATTGTTTAAAATCACATTGATCTCAAAAGAGCAGTGAACATACTGGGAGTTGCAAAACACTTTTTGTCAGTAGGTGAAACTTAGTTTCACATATGAACAATACTAGTAACCCATTCAGAGGACAAAAGTTTTGCAAGTGGCTACGAACAGGTTGACTGTAAATCTCAGTGCTACTACTACAGTCCTCAAGTTGGTGAAATTTTCTCAGTCAAGCTGCTACTCCAGTTCATCGCCGTTCGCTTACTTGGCGCAAATACGTTGTATGGTCAGTAAACCACGTACTTCCTTGAAACTAACTGATCGAAACATAGTTCCGTTTGCAACATCACTAAGATATCGAGCTTATTACTTACTCCAACTTTTCGGCTTATCTATTAAGTAAAATCGCATCTGGTAAAACGATATTTCCATGTCTAAAAGTCTGGACAAGAAAGCCAATCATCGATTCAATATTTAAAATACAAAATAACAAATCAACGAAAAAAATGATTTAGAACTTAATATGGTAGTGATTTTTAATGTCAACAAAAGAATTAGTCCGGCTTAATTGCTTCTGAGATGCAAACATACTGATTTTATAGCTACTACATCTTTTTTATTCTTTCAACCTTTTACGAAGTTAAATTTACTGAAGATAAAATCAATTTCACAATTTAGTACTTAAAATAAATTGATTAATTAAACATATTTATTCTAGCTAGTAGTCTTTAATATGAAAGGAAAAATTCTTTAAGTTATTTTTATAATTAATAATGAAAAACAATTTATTGTTTTCAAGTAGTAATTAAATCTGATCACCATATTGCTTAAATATATATCGTTTTGAAGAATCATTTTTTTTCTTTTCTAGATGCTTTACACACATGTTTTGTGAAACAATCCAATCCTCCAGAAATTTTCTTGTCCTCAGCTTATTTTGCCAAAAAACAGAGGTTTGTAAAATAATATTTTAGCATTTGTGTGCAATAAATGTTTTCACTGTAATTTATATCTATGCTATTCCAAACATATTGAAGATACAATATTGACATGCATTCTATAGACGAGCATGCTGGACATATGACATCACAGCTGACTGAAGCTACCGAAGATGAAAAATATCATTTACGTCAACTAATGGAAAAAGCATGTGATCAAATTCCAACTTTAAAAGAGGCTATCGAAGAGGTTAGTAACGTAATTTTTTCATTGGCTAATAATGATGAGAGAAATCGAATAATGATTTTAGAGTGCTTTCATAATTTAGAACAAGCTATAGCTAAAAGAAAAAGTCAACTTATTGAAGAATTAGATAAAATCACTGCCAAGAAAAGACAAGTGCTGGAGGAACAAAAGGCTTTGCTTGATATGTGTCTTTCAAACATTACTGTCAATTCTGAATTCACTCAAAATGCATTATGTTATGGGAGTGAAACTGAAATTATACTAGTGACTAAACAAATCGCCGAGAAATTAGAAGATTTAGCAACCATGAGAATTCAAAAAATGCCAGAAGAAAATAGTTTTATATTATTTGAAGCAGAAGATGCCGAATCTGCAAAATCAGCCATTTTAAAAGTTGGTAATTTAATAAGCAATAGTGCAGTAGCACATGAGTGTACAGCAGTTGGAGAAGGTCTTAAACTGTGTAGAATCAACAAACAAACGCTGGTGGTAGTGACTGCTAAAGATCGCCATAGTCAAATAGTAAGGGATGCTGTTTTTGATGTCGAACTAATATCATCAGAGTTTTCATGGAAACCTAAAATAGCCGACCAGAAAAATGGAACTTATCACATCTTATATATGGTTGAAAAAGAAGGTACTTATCAGCTGAGTATCAAATTACTTGGAAAACCCATCAATGGTAGCCCATTTACAGTGAAAACATACATAGAAGAAGAATGTTCTTCTAGTGACAGACGCTCTAAGATTCCGAGAACAACAGGACTGAGTAAATCATCCTCAAGTGGTTCTAGAGTGATTGAAGATGATTTAATATTAAAAATTGGACACAGAGGTAAGTCCCCTTATCTTTATTTATGATCTAAAAGCAATTTTATTTGCTTTGATTAGAGGGAATCATTTTAAAAAAATCCATAAAAATAAGCAAGTTTTGTCTCCAGTTTGTATAGACAAAAAAAAAAACTTAACTTCCTCAACGTAAAAATACAATAAAAATTATAATAGAATTTTCTGATGAATGTTTTTTAATTCCATTTAAAATATTAAAAAAAAGATGGAAAAAAATGAAAAATTGCATTTAAGGAGTTTCGGAATAGCCTCCAAATTTTCATGCTATCAAAAAGTAATCTATTCTTTTGTTTCTGTTGCCTGGAAAAAATATAATAGCATAAAAATTACAACTCTCAAGAAGTTCTTGAAAATATGTAGAAAAGGGAAAATCAGGAGCCTTTTTTACGTTAAATGATAACTTAATGTTTATTCGCCTAAGAATTAAGAATTGAAAAGTTCATAAAACTAATAATAAACTTTTTTGGAGGAGAACAGAGTGTTGAATAATGTTTTCCAAACGCTTCTTAAATACGGATCAGCAGCTAGATTATTTATTATTGAATTTTTGTTTTTAATGGCACTCTATCAGCAATCACACGATTGGACTTGAGGACGTAAGTTAAATTTTCATGCACTCAATTTTATTGTTATTAAATTTGATTTATTGTATTAAATATTTTGAAACAATTTTAACCAGTGTTTATTCATCTGACAAATAGTATTGTTTTTTTCATGGAGTTCATATTGATGATTAATGATTATATTATGTTTTGATCTGTTGATTTCAAGTCTAGTGATGATTTTCGAAATATTTCATATTTATGAAAGTAATTAGTGTTTAAATAGAAAAAGAATTTAGTGATTTTGATTATAATTTATTATTTTTTCTCCCTCATCTTTGATGTTTTAGTTAATAATATTTGTATTTTATATATTGAACTTATTTACATAATTTATCAGATTTGTTTATTTTTACAATTCGACAATACTTTTAAAATTTATTGCAATTATTGAATTTTTTATTTCCTTTCAATAAATTTTCTTTTGATTCAGTTAATTTAGTCTATTCAGTATTATAATTAATATGAAAATATTTTAAGTAACTATAATCTATTTCATTGTTTAATGTGCTACAGTTTACATTTTTGATTGATTCGATGGTTAAAATTTAAATTTTTTCTTCAACAATGTACCTAGGGTTAAGAAAATCAAGCAATTAAAATATTTGAACTTTTTTCTTCTAAATGTAATTTTTAATTATAATGCTTGAATGCCCTCAAGGAATTATAAATTTATCATGTATAATGATTTAACACCTGTTGAGAAATTTTCCAAATTTGAGAAAATCTGGAAGCATCAAATAATTAAAATGAATTAAACATTAGTTCTTGAAATTTAAATTTTAATCGTGATAAACAAGAAAAACCAGACATATTAATGTTTGAACCCCACATTGGTAATCAGTTCACAGCCGGGCTCCGACATATTCAAAAACAAACTAGAGATTCTAAATTCATTCACGATAGAAACTTAAAAATTTTCAAAAACTCCTTCGGGTTTCAGCTTTGAAAATATTTATAAATAACTGTTTAACTTATAATTTTTTTCAAGAAATAGTCAAAATTTTTCAGGAACAATAATTTTCACCCCCTTTTGGCTTTAACGATTTTCAAAATTTAAAGTTTTCTGGCCAAGCTAAGGACTCATATTTTACCGAAAAGGTCGAGTTAGGTCGGAAAAAAAAATTTAAGTAATCAACACATAATTGAGAGTTTGTCTATGGGATTACAGATAAGGACACTTTTTGTTCTAATAGAACCCAAAACCCCAATTGATTGGCTTACGATTGTTTCAAAAATTATATATGATGTCCTCACTCTTCTACCTCAAAATGAAAATAAACCAATCTCAGAATCAAAACGTAGTGGGTATAGGCAACGAAATCAAAAATATCAAGGCTTTACACTAAGGTAGCCATTGATTAATAACTCAGCTAGTTCAAATTATTATAATATTCTGTTACAAAATCAAAACTTATTCCTGTCAAGTCGGCATTTTAACCCACAATTCCAAATTAGACCTTGATTTCATAAAGTAAGTGAAAATTTTAATAAAAAAATAAACAAAAAGCAAGTCATTTTTGCCCATGTGTCCCAGGAGATTCTTCCTAGGTCTTAAAAGTTTTGTGATGAGCGAGGAATTACTAATGTTTATCACTGAATCCGAAATTGCATAAACAAACCTATAATCTTTACTGCTGAGAATCAATTCCAGCCTAAAGATAAACAAGAAAGTGACCAACCTCAAAATTGACAGTTAAAAAATGAAAAAAATAAAAATAACAAACACCCGATTGTGACTAATAAAAACTATCTTTTTAAATGTCGACGCAAGTAATGCTCTAAATGTTATCCAAACCAAAATTTTGGAAAATCTAATTGTCCAGAAAGAAAGAAAATTTTTCTTTAAATGTAGAACAAATTTATAAATTCTCATTTAAATCTCTAAATTTAAAAATTGGAAATAGCTAGGTCAGTAGAATTTTATATTTTAAGTACTATTTTACGTTATTTGATTTTGAGTTTAAAAGTGTATATTGGATTTCAATTATTGATTGTGTGAAACAGATTTTAATGCAAAATCTGTGAAAATTGGTAACTTTTTCCGATTATTGCAACTTGTCTTTACACATTGCTCTAGAAATCCAGGTTAAAGAATGTAATAATAGCACCGATAACGAAGATAAAGTTTTAAAAAAAAATAAGCAATGAAAAAATAAAGTGAAGAAAAGAAAGAATGGTAAATCAAAATCAAATAACACTAATGTTAAAAAAATGTTCAGCAAAATCTTCATGAATATCTTTAAGAAAATGAAGTTTTCGATATAAAGATAAAAAAAATAATTATGTCAAAAATGTAAATAAAGTAAATTTAAAGAAAAGAAAATAAGAAATGAATTTAAAAATAAAGATTTAGGTAGTAAAATTGAAAATAATCTTGAATTTTCAAATATTCATGAAACAAAATATGACAATGAGGATCCGCATTGTCAAAGTCAGGAATTTTGCACATCCAAGATGGTGAAAAAATTCCGAACTTCTGTAAGGTTTAAAACATTTTTAAAATATTTTTGCTAAAGATAAATACGATGTCGGGACAATAGGAACTAAACCTCAAAGAGTAAGATTATCATCAGACTTACCAAATACAAAACTTCCCCAAAACAATAAAAATTAACCAATTAAAGAATTATTAAATCATAACATAATTAAAGAAAGCTCCTCACCCTATACGGCTCCAGTAACTTTAGCTTTTAAAAAAGATTAAAATGAAAAAAAGTAGATTGCGTGTAGACTTTAGAAAATTAAATCAAATAACTAAATTAGATGCAGAACCATTACCCCTATAAGAAACTTCGCAGACAAATTAGACAACAGTGTTTATTTTAGTCGCTCTGACATGATCAGTTGTTACTGGGATATTCAAATTCATCCTAGTGACGCTGAAAAATCAACAATGGTCACCAAAAATGGTTTCTACGATTGGCTAAGATTGTCATTCGGGTGGAAGAACGTCCCAAGTATCTTTCAAAGAACAATCCACCGAATTTTCACTACAAAAAGTTTCATTTGCAACTAATTATTTTGATGATATTATTATTTTTTCTAATAGTTTTGAAAATCATTTAAAACATCTTAAAAATTGTTTTGAAATATGTAGGTTTGAAAACTCAAAATTTAAGACTTCGTAGTGTTCTTTTTTACTAACTAAAATTAGTTTTTTTGGTTATGAAATGTGTAATTGCATAGTGACTCCTGATAACAACAACATTGAAGCAATTGAAAATTTAAAACCTACTACTAATTTTAAATCTCTTCAACGTTTTTAAGATTCAATAAATGAGTATAATAAATTTATAATTATAAATTTATAAATTTATAATGAGTATAATAAATTTATAATAAATTTATAAATAATTGTGCTGAAATTAGAGCACCAATAAATCATCTTTTAAAGAAAGACAAAAATTAGTCGAAATTCGTTTGCATAACAAAATAATAATTTAATTGCAAATTTTATTGAAATTGATAAATTATGCTAACATAAAAGGGGTTTGACCAAAATTGTTGCTCCATTTTCTTTGAGACAAAAATTACTTGAAATTACTCATAAAAAATTCGGTTATCCTGGGAATAAAAGAATAATAATTTACTTACTCCTGTTTATTATTCGATAAATATTACTTTCAATATTACAATTTCAATAAACAATTTCATACTTGTAAAATAAATAAAAAACCTAAACAAAAATGATTTATTTACTTCAAGCAATACCCGCAGTTGACAAAACTTTCCATATAATTTCTCGTTTTCTGTGTTGGTGAGTTTGATTTCTCTGTTGGTGGTCAACACCACATATAGATAAAAAAAAAATTTAATAATATATTCGTTATATTTGAAACTAGGATCTCCCAGCAATTTTTGCTGAGTCCGTTTTCCTCCTTTCGAGGATTACAGCTTTTAATCCAGCAAAAATTCCCTAAAAATACTGAAGTCTTAAACCTCAGAATAACGACCAATAACCAATGTGTCATTCCTAATTTTTATCATTTTTATATTTTGTCATTTTTTATCATCTTTTTTAGCTTTTATCGTTTTCATAATAGTATATTTTTTACATTTCATATTACTTTTATATATTGGTGGTACATTCATATTAAAATTTTTATCCATTTCAATTGTGCTTCTAACATAGAAAAAGTATTAGAAATAATATTTTTTTTAAATTTCTAGATTGTAAATAAAATTTTTGGGGAAGGGCTGTAACTAATTTTTTTATTTTATTTCTTTTTCTAAATCCTGTTAATATCTCTAAAACTTCTTCTTAATTCAAAATTAAACACTTTCTCACACTTTATTATGCAAACCCTGCTTCTTTTTCTATTTTTCATTCAAGCATGCATAAATTAACATTTTGAGTTTTCCCTTTATTAAATGTGAGAACCATATTATTCCCTCGACCTATTTCATTGGACCAATGTAATT